CCTAACCAGACAACTCGAGTGCCCCTACTCCAAGGCAACCTAAGTTAGACAGAAGCATACAATGACTTTTTAAACAACGTGGCCCCTTTTATTTTTTCGGATGGCCCTCGTGAACCAAGATTGATTATAGATGTTAACAGTGCCCTGGAGACAAAGGGCGACACTAAGGAAACTCCCCAAGAGTAAAATAAAATAAATCAAACAGGCTGTTGTAACCCAATGTTTCGAGTTCTCGACCCCTCCCACCACACTAGCCACCGGAAAAGGGCGCCAAGATCACAATACAGCAGAACAATTCAGGTTAACACAGAAATTCTCTTATCTAGAATGGTTAACACAGCTTCATCACATTACTTGCAATGTCCAAACAGCAAAAAAAATAGTTCCAGTCTTTACAGTAAAGTCCGATCCAGTGAATTGTCCCTGGTATGTGAAACCAATAAACAGTTCTAGGTGTAGCTGTCGTGAACCAGAGTTCCCGTCTGTTAGGCTGCCCAGAAATTCCACAGCCGGAGCAGGATATCCAGACTCGGGTTCACAAAAAAACAAAAAAAACCTGCTGTAACCTGAGTCGGATTGAACACACGGAGGGAAACTCCATATAAACTCGCTGCGATCCCGTCCGTTGCCCCACTACCCTCCCGGTTACTCTTCGTTCAGGTTCGTTCTGACCGCGGGGTTTTCCTGGTGTCTTCCGCTGTAATGGCACGCGCGGGATCAGTACCGCACACCCCGCTCGCTCCCAACAGCGCACCTCCCCGTTTTTTTTTTTGCGCGCCCACAGGCTCTCCTCAATATGTCACTTCCTCTTGGCTTATTCAGACAGGCCGCTAAAGGTCCTACGTGACAGTTTTCCACAAGTTATATGCATGTGCCCTCACACTAACATAGTTGTATCGCTAGTGATCACATAGCACATCATTGTATACCAGCTAGCCCAACTTCAGTAACCCTACAAACGTCACTGCTGTTTAGTTTCCTGTCTTCATTTATGTTGGAAGTGATAGCAAAGCAGTACTCAGAAATCTCTCAGTCAGAACATGCT